TTTATCGCGGTTGAACGTGCCGTTTTACTTTATTCAAACATCCAAGTGCGCAGTTAACATTTTCTTCTGGATCCCCCCCGGGCGTTAAAAGAGCTCGAGACGAGCGGGAGTGTTCGGGGCCAAAATCGTAGCGAATGTGGAGCACAAAAGGTACGTAAGCTTATCATGGAGAAACAAAAGAAAACGAAAGAATCAAATCATTTCCTACGGAGAGAATTTTTCTCTTAAGGCATTTCGAAGAATTTTGTAAGGTTTTTTTGAAATTTTTGAAATCCACTGATTGACTTTTGGAAAGTACGTTTCAAAAAATTCCTGCAGCATTCAAATACGAAGTAACAAAGGAGTAAGAGCCAAGACGGGATGTTATGTGAGGTCCAGATTTAAACCCTGGCTGAGGTATTATTTTTCGCAGCAGACCTACGAAGTAAAATTATTTAGGCACTAACACCTTTGGCTCGTGCTCCTTTATCACTTCGTATTTACGTTTTCACACGTTAGAGTCTTATAAAATTCTTCGGAATGCCACGTCCCACACTGAAAAAAATTTCTGGTTGAATATGGACGAATCAGATAATTCCTTTAGGATTTACCAGAATTTCTGTAGGATTACAGGAATTCTGGTAAATCCTAAAGGAATTATCTGATTCGTCCATATTCAACCAGAAATTTTTTTCAGTGCACGATTTCACGATTTTCAGGGTAAATTTCAAACGAAATTTCCCCCGTGTACTTTCCGCGCGGTGACAACGACACGTGTGCGTAACATCCGCGGACTTCTATGTACTACCAGACTGCTACCTTCGAGCTAAAAAGTGAGGCAAGAGTTCCTCCATATCTTGTTAGGTAAATAAAGTGGTACGTCTGTCAGTGACACACCGCGATGCACACGTACTACTTTATTTATGAGCTGAAAAAATTTCTGCGAGGGCAGAAGTTTTCAGCTCGAAGATAGCAGTGTCTAGCAGTAGAGAAAAGTCCCATATTGCGAGATAGACCTCTAATATGAGATTGTAGGCTCTCAACATCCAAATTCAAATTCTTTTGTCGCAACGTTTACACGCGAAAAAAGAGAAAGATATTGTATCAACAAGTGCAATTGAAATGAAATCGTTGAAGCAACATGAGTACTAATAATTGAAAAACATCAAGTTGTTGTCTTAATAATCTGGACATTTAGTTCAATGCTTAAAATTGAAGCCCGTAGCCAATACAATTGAGTGAATTATTTATGTTTGTGGCGTTTAATTCAAGCCACTTCATTTCGTTTAATTCAACAGCATTTGTTGTCCGTGCACGATCCGGCAATGAATCTCCCACTGAACACATTTCACTCCAAGGGCAATAAATTCACAACGGAGCCAGCAGATGCCTATTAAATTAGCGGAAACTCTGTTATCTCATATTAGGAGCTTGTCTCGTAGCAGAGGAGTTTCCTCTACATAGGAAGTCTGCGTTAACAACGCTGCAGCACTCGCTGTCAGGTCGCAATCATCGTACCCTTCCCTGTCGTCCGCGAAAAATCCCGGGCCCGTTCGTCATTAGCCAAGGAATAGCTGGCTCGATCGCGCTGGTAACGGATACTTTGTTGTCTACGAGGGAGGGGCCGGTCGTGCAGGATACGAGGGAGGCTATACACATCTATCCCAGGTACGGACAAAGGGGCACACCGGGGCTGCGGAGGAGGAAAGAGGGCAGGGGGAGCAGATTCGGCGGAAACCGCGCGGAAGGCGCCCGAGGAGGATGCGAGAGGTACCGTCGTCCCTCCCCCTCCCCCGCCCCCCCCCGTTCGCCTTCGAAAAAGGAGCAGCCGGCAGGAGCGAGGCTGTGCGCGGCGTTCTCAAAGGACTCCTACTCTCCCTACTTCTCTCTGCCTGCTCGAAACCTAAATATAACAGCCAGTCAAGTACAGTTCCTTTCCTCTCGAGCGCGCTCCGCGCGCCATATTGGGCTCCACGCACGTGGAGTCGCGACAGGTCGACGCTGCCGGGACGGCAGCGTGTGTAACCTGGACGATGTCGAAAGTGAAAGTATCGGAAGCCAAGGAGTTTATTCATACTTTGATACTGGCTGGCGCCAGGCAAGTGCGCAATGCTCCGAAATCTGTCATCTCTTTCGAATCTACGGTCGACACCGGGGAGAAGTTTTCGGTTGACTTTTAAGGAAAGAACGGGCGAAGATACTCGCCGGAATTTCTTCATCTTCGAGGGACGTTCTAACGTCTCGAAATCAATGTCACAGTTTGCGTCCGACCGCGCGTTCTCTTTCTCTCTCGCGATTTCGGAGAAAAGTCCCTCGCGGCCGTCCGCAGATTAACATTCGCCATTTTCTCGCGGATCTAAAGATTTTGGAGACGCGCACGAGATCTTTCTGCGTCCCGCCTATGTTTCCTTTATCTTCGAATTTTATTTATATTCGATTGCGTCTCGAAATTATCGGGTAAACCCATTAGCTCGGCGCTTTATTTGCGGCGGAAATATATTCCGCCTGTTTTTCATAACGGGAATAAATATAAATTGCTTTCCGTACAGAAACAAATTGCCCCCCCCCCCCACCCACCCCGCTACGAGCCGCGTTGCACGACAGCGGAGTAACATTTCACGGATTGCGGAGGAGAACATGACCTACTTCGCGTTATTCAAATGCTGACGTAATTTCTCGCGATTTATAATAAATGCTACCCAGTTCTCGTTTTCTCTCCCGAATCGACCTACGGTCAAGCGCAACGATTGAACCGTAATGACGCATGCGTCGTGATCCTCGAAATTGAGAGGCGACACGGCGTGACGTCATCGGCATCTCTGACGTAGCTGCAGCCGCGGTATTAAGCCCGTCGACCGGGTCAGGACATTACCCCAAATAGCTAAAAACATCCTAATAACCTGCAGCCCGAACAATGCAACTCTATCCATCAGGGAGAACCTATTGACGTGTCCCCCTGCCACATTTCCCCGCTGACTTATTATCCCGATCATTATTCTGATTTATATCGCCTGACGCGTCGTAGAACGACACGAGCGTGTCGTATTTTAAAATCTTTTGGAATAAAGACAGAAACGTATAATATTTCTATGATCGAAACGTTCGTAAATTTGCTGGAAGAAAAGAACGCCCGCGAGTGCCTCGCGCGTTCCGAATGTCTTCTTGCAAATAAAAAAAAAAGGGAGAGTACGTATGCAATAACCGCGCTACGTCGTCTTATGTCGAAAATGCGAATATTAAAAAAATCCTTCGCGTTGGGGGATAAATGAAAATCCGTTGCGAATTTTTCCCCTCCGGAAATTTGCGTCAAGTGTACGCGGGGAGAATTTTCTTTGAAAATTATCGCGGGACAGCACGGCATTTCGAAGAATTCTATGGGAGTTTTTCGAAATTGTACCATACATTTCACCAGTAATTATACTCGGTATAGATTTTACCAGTGAAACGTATGGCATGACTTTCCGGATAAATTTCAAGAGAGAATTCTCTCCGTGCGTTTTCTAGAGGAATAACTTATGTTTTTATTTTCGGTCACTCGCAACCAGATATATAATTTTCACGTGCAACCGATGGCACGTTCGACGGCGGCGGTTTCAGCTATTCCGCGAGAACGTTCAAACCTGATTCTCGTACTTTTATCTCCGATTAGAAACGTATCTGACACATAAAACGAACAATTGGCACTTTCGATTTGACGTTCTATACTCAAACGTTTCGACCTAAATCGAGAACCCGCTCCCAGTTAGACATGAGTTCATAAAAAATGGACTTATTCGCCCACCTAAATCAATCGAATCCGCAGCTGATTAAATCGATCAGTACGAAAATTATTCAACGGCACAGCAACAGCGTACACGGGCCGTAAAAGATTGCATCGTTTCGTAAAAGGTTCATCCAGAACAATATGTCAATTAAACTAATATCGTGTTCAAAGAACAATTCTTTAGTCGACTCGTCTATCTCTGCAAAGTGTCGCGCCTCACGATCCACCTTATCGGATCTTCTCGTCACAATTTCGTCAAAGCTACCGTCCGTGCACTCGAAGCACAAAACGCGCATCGCCGTCAAGCGATTTAATTAGAACGTCGCACCCCGCTACAGGTGTCGCGTCAACTCGCTTATCGTTTCCGCGCAAAAAGAGAAAGAGAAGGACAGGGTGTCCAGCAAACTCAATGAAAAAAATTCCCTGGCTCTCTCAGGCTTTCCGGGAGCCGGAATTAATTTTTCCCCTGGCCGTTTAGCGCAACTTCTTTCAAGGTGCATAATTTGCGTACATCCGTATGGTAAATCAAGTAAATGTTAAATGACGAAGTGATTTTGAAATATTCTTCTCGGGAAACGAAAGTCCGGAATTTAAATAGATAAAAATTTAAATTAAAGCAATTATACCATCTATGTATAATACAATGTGTAATAGGAACGAACATATCGTTACAAACCATTCGAACCATTTCTGATACCGTACGAAATCATATATGATGCGATAACTGCATCTTGTTTGCAACTTACTAGACAGTAACCTACTCAGACGGCACCGTTTAGTGATTCATCTTTTCTTTATAGTTTTGTCTCAGTTGAACACATTGAAATGAAATAACACGCCGATGAAAGTATAAATTACCGATCACGCTTATAAATGAATGGACGTTTAGCAAAACCGAAAATTAGTGCACTGAGAGACAAGGAAAAGTTTATTTTCCAGAAACGTTAAATTGTTCAGAAAAAAAATGTGAAACGATGTAAAAAAATCGTAAAACTTCCTAACTCTTCCCTGACATTTCCAGATCTCTAAAATTCCCCGACAATTCCCGGTTCTCCAGATTTCCCTGACCGCCGGACACCCTGAAGAAGAGACGATCCGCGGTTTCGCCCCCTGTCTCGTTTCCCGAAAATTACGACCCGCCATTGTTTTCGCACTGACCGATTTAATCCCGGCCGCGGGGGCCGGGGGCGGCCCGCGTAGGCAGGTTCGTGCGACAAATGATAATTCCGAGCAAGATAAATGGATCTGAGAGACTCACCCTGCATTTTCAGCGGCAGCAATGGACATGTGCCTCCTCTCATCGAGGGTGGGCGCGGCGTCGAACTGCCGGGGGAGATCCGTGGTAATGAATTGAAAGTCACGCGTGCAACGAGAGACGCTCTCTCCTTCTCACTCTCCTCCTCCTCCTGTATTCCTCGCTCTCTTTCTCTCGCGGGGCACCACCGTCGCGCGCACCAACAGAACTTCTCACCACTGCACCGTCGATATTCCACCACTGAGGGAACAACAAGGGTCGTTAACCACCACGCGCGACACCAGTATCACAGAAATCAACACGCTCTCGTCGCCGCGATTCGGATAAGGAAGAAAAATAAAACAGCAGAAAAATGAAAGAGGGAACCGACGGGAAAGAATAACCGCGAATCCGTTCGAATCCGCTTTTTCCCACGGCTCGGTTCGTACACACGCACGCACGATGTCCCGGAGATATATATATATATATATATATCTCTCTCTCTTCCCGAGCACCTCGGGGGAGGAAATCGAAATTGTTGCACGAGCGGATATCGTTTCTCGCGACTCAGTCGCCGATTAGCCAACCGAGCTCGACGGGGACATCCGATGATGAGTCGGAAGCTGCATCATCCTTCCGCCGACGGTTTTCAGGCGTCTTCCCCGAGCTCGACGACATTCGACGCTGCCTCTTTCTCCTCTCCGAGCGCAGGTGCTGGGCGAGGGGTGTGTGTGTGTGTGTGTGTGTGTGTATGTGCGCACCTCCGCGCACGAATCGGCTCGCGATTCACGGCGAGAGTCGATGGCGTGATCGACGGGCAGCGTGATCTCTCTATCGGGATCGCGTACGCGTCGTCGGGGTGGGCCCGCAGCACGAGCGATGGGGAGTGTCTCTTCCCCGAAGCCGGGCCCTCCTCCGATTCCTTCCCTCCCTACGACCGTGCTGCTCTCGATTCTTTTCTTGGTCCTTTCGGGCCTCTTCGGGCCCGCAAAGTCGCAAGTTGTGTTTACCTCAAGCTCTTCCCGCCGGCGGAAGCTCGAGCCGGCCGAGTTTTCCCTTCCGCCGCCGTGGGCCCTCCTGTTGATCCTCCCGAACTCGCTCGTGGTCCACCAAGTTCAAGGGCTCTTTGCGCCGAGCGGATCGATCCTGAAAACGACAACGGCAAACGTGAGCTGAGCGAGGAAGCGACGATCGTCGGGGAAGGGGGGGGGGGCGGGAGGAGTGTCGCGCGGTAAAACGAGTCCACGTAACGCGTTAATGAGCGGAACGAGTGAAAAAAAAAATTGCGCCGCGCATCACGTTGAATGCGTTACGCGTCGCGTCGGCGACGAGCTCGCAATGGGCGCGCGCGCGCGAGTCGCCGTTTCTGGCTTATCTATGAGGTAATCGGCGGAATCGTTGGCGAACAAACGGTTACCGATACTCCCATTCAAACGATATAACACCAACAGCTACAATCCGGACTCGCGTCTTCCTACGTAAGTGCGCGTTATTTGAACAGCAACTGTCACCATGTCGTCGTTACTTGTCTTAATTTAGCTACCGTTGCTGTTATTTTCTTATTATCCCAATTTTTACGACACATTTATCTTTGAAAACAGGCGAAACAAAATAATACCTAGCTTATCTGCGAGATAATCGGCGGACAAACCGATACCATTGAAGCGACACAAATCTGCGATTTGGACGCAAACTCGCATCCTCCTCGTAAATGCATCGTAAATGCGTTTAAATAGCTATTGTCGCCATAGCGTCGTTATTTAATTTAGCTATCGTTGCTATTATTTTATTTGGTTGTTACTGCAATTTTTGCGACATTTATATTCGATACAAAATTGAACGTGCGTTTAATCTAGTCGCGTCTTCACATGTCATTACGCTATTGCACTTGAATGTATCATAAAATAGGATCGATATACCCCCAACTATATTTATTATAGAGAAAGAAACACTTTAACCTTAAATGAAAAATTGCAAAATCTAGAATAAAACGATAAGTGTATCGTCTTTTGTCGAGTATCGCGGTACCAACTTCGTGCGTTTTAAGATAAGAGGAAAATTTATTCCAAACGCAAGAATATATAAGCTTACATTTATACAAGTTACTCTTGTCTCAATATAGCACAATTTTAATATCGTCTTATTTTTATACTAAATGAGGTTGTGAGAAATATAAATGCGTCAAGAATATTTTTTGCCTCGGTAACAAATCCTTTCTGAGGGTGTACTGAGAGACCCATTTGTTAAATGAAACAAAATTTGGTTGACTCAACTGAATTTCTTGTTTGGATACGAGCGAACAAATCTTCCAGTTGATACAGCAACAAAATTTAGCTGGAAAATTTGGTTATATCAACCACACAAATTTGGTTGAGTGGACATGCGCGGAATTTTATAATAATCAACTAAACGATTCGGCTCACGCAACAAACACAATTATTTAGGACGTGATGAGATGGACGGATTTGTTATCTCGACCATAAAATTGTCTTCAAATAAACAACTCATAGAAGCAAGATGTTTAGTTGTTGTAACATTTAACTTCTTTTCAGCAACATATTTCTCGTTTCCATACAACCAAATTACATGTTCAGTCGACAAAATGATTCAATCACATTATTTCGTTTCATTCGACGAACTGGGTCTCTCAGTGTAGCGAAACAATTGTTACAATTATTAGAAATCGAATATAAAAATCATTGTAGGTAATACGCGAAGAAGTTAATTTCGTATCGCTTCGAAATCGCTGGACATTATTCTCTCTTCGCGGTGTACAGATGTGAGAAAAAAAAACCGACAACAAACGTGATGTTCAGCCTTCCAGAACAATGTTACCATTGTGGTGCGTCGCGAGATAACGCAACTCGCGATTATATTACCCGCGAGTTGCACGTACGGCGATAGAAGTATTTCAATAATTGTGCATTGCCGAAAAAGCCTTTCCCTCTCCCGTTCAAAGCTATAATTTCGCTCGCTTAATCGACGCCGAAGCCCGCGAAACGCATTTAACAATGGGAACCGCCTCCGCTACGACAAATCGCTCATTTCTATCATACGCGATTATACATTTCGCTATTATCGCTCCATCGCGCACGGCAGTTGGAACCTCCCGAGCGGCTGCCGCTTTCCGTACACGCGTCTCCGGCGCGAGGCGCGGAATTTCCGCCGTGAACGCGGCTCGTTTTTCCCCGTTTTTCGGCGAGGCGGGGCGGCAGGTTTAAACGCATCCGCAACTAATGGCGGGTTTCGAAATCGCCGACACAACTGTCGTCCCCGTCGTCGCGGCGGCGCGGCGCGGCGGCGACCGCGGTGCAACCTCGCGCATCACATGGCGTCGCGCACGACGAGAGGCACTGCCATTAATACAATAGCCCCCGGTGCGTGCATGCGCGGCGCATGTCCACACGGCCCATTCTCTCGCTTCCGAAACATATGTAGACCGTGGGCGCGTTTAGGAAAACTCGGGGAGATCGATATCGCCGTCGGCCGTCGCGCCGACGACGACGACGACGACGACGACGCTCCGTCGCGAATTTGCGCAATTTATCGCGTCGGGTCTACGGGGTGTCCGGAACTCCGCGACCGGTTTCGACGCGGCCGGCCCGGCCCCTTCGAGAGATAACGAGAAGAGGCGACGGCTATTCGCGATCGACGACGAAAATGCATTTCTCTTTCTCTCTCTCTAGTGTCGACGAGGGAGTCATTTGCGCGTCTCGGCGTAAAGCGTATCCTCATCCTCGCTCGCGTCTCTCGGAAATCTCGTTATCGGAATTGGATTAGTTTCTTTTTTTTTTCTCCCGCTCGTCGTCGAATCGCACGCCTTCCTCGGCGTCGGTAAAATTAAGGTCAAGGCGCTCCCGCGTCACTTGGCGCGATCGGAATTTTCTTTCGAAAAGGCTCCGTTCGAGCCGAGCATAAAATACTTTTCTCGCTGCCCGCGGATATTATTAAGTGACTCATCGCGGCGCACCACTACAGACGCGGAAAAATCACGGACACGCCAACGGTCGCGCAACGTGAATTCAGAGGCCGCGACACGCGGACGATCGTCTCCTTTTCTTTCCCCGTCGTCGACGTCCGCGCGCACTCGAGCGCCTCGTCGGCGTCGAATTCGCGCCTGAAACGCGAGTGTAATTAATTCGGAAACCGCGGATCGCGCTGAAAGGAGCGCCGCGTCGAGCGTCATTTTCGGATGCTCCTCGAAAACGAACGTAACGCTCGCTTCAGGCCGCGCTTACGTCACGCGAGAAACGACCAGGCTGCAACAAACTGCCGTTTTTTTTTTTTACTCCGAGCCGCATTATCCGCGGGAAATGTGCGCGCGTGTGCGTGGAAACGCGAGAGCGCATCGAGGTGTCTAATAGCGAATTCGGTTGCTTGCACTAGTGCGCACTGACAAGCAAACCTACACTGAAAAAAATTTCTGGTTGAATATGGACGAATCAGATAATTCCTTTAGGATTTACCAGAATTCCTGTAATCCTACAGAAATTCTGGTAAATCCTAAAGGAATTATCTGATTCGTCCATATTCAACCAGAAATTTTTTTCAGTGTACCCAAGATTTTGATTTTCTCTTCCGGGGCGAATATTGGCGAAAGTGTAAGAGCTAGAGAAAAAATGTTAAATGAATATCGAATGGTTTCAATAGTACTTTAAGGGCCAGTTTCACAAACGTCGGTTAGCTGCTAACCGAAGGTTAACTGATCCTCTGTCTCTTCTTAGAGAACAAGATAGAAAAAGATAAGGCGTTGACTAAACTCTGGTTAACAGTTAACCAACGTTTGTGAAATTGGCCCTAAAACTGCGAGCAAAAAGTTTTTAATTTTTTCTTTCTCAAAATATCCCCACCACTCAACATTACTTGCGAGTGCAGCACATTAAGGCTTGTTCACGGCCAATTCTTATATTTAAGGATGGTCTTAAATATCTCTTGAAATATTTTTTTTAGTCAGTAAAACAATCTGTGTAACATCCGTACGGATCATTTTTTTTTTGCTAAATGCTGCATGAACACGTATTTAAGACAGAGTTAAAAATACAAGAATATTGACTAGAAACAAGCCTTAGTGCGCACTCGGTGCGCAACAGTGCAAGCAACCGAGTTCGCTATAAATATGCGAGCGAAGATAAATTGAATTTCAAAAGCGCGCGCGGTAATGTCTTCTTCTGTAAAATCCGAACCGGAGATTTCTACGGACAACGGGCTGTTTCGCAACGCTCGCGATTATTATTTCACGGCGCGCGAATGCAATTTACAGCGGCGGGAGGATTGAGATAAGATCCCGGGAGATCGGCTGCAATTATAGAAAACGCCGATAAGAGATGAGATTCCGCGGGAGAAAGGAGGAGAAAGAGAGGAACGCAACGCGCGCGGGTCCTGCAGACTTGGGTCGTAACGTTTACGACACGTCGGCATTATGAGGTTGGCACTCGGAGTGTGTGCGTGTGTGGGGAGAGGGGGGCTATTTAAATAACCCCCGCTGCCCCTGCGTTACGCAATTTAAAGGGTCTCGGAAAAACTCGTGGCTTTGTCGGGCCGCTAAAACGGAGGCTAAACAGAGATTAGAAAGCTGCCGATAAAGCGGCGTTGCTTTCCTTTGTGTGAAGGCCCGACTTGACGAAGCGTCGTTTAACTTGAATCCTAGTCCGATTCACCTTTGCCTCTTTCTAAAGTGAGGCCCGAAGAGTTAACCGCTGACCAAAATCATGCATGGTAATAAGATAATAAAGTTTTAAGGCTACTCTACCATGTGCTCTCCGCAAACATTATATTTCATACGAACAAATCAAAACGCTTGAAAAATTTATCGACAATGTACAGTGTAGATATGCACTGATAAAAAAAATCTTAATCCAAAAAAATATTACTTTACTCAAGAAAATTATTCATTAGATGGCTCCTAATAGCTTATTAATTTAAATTAGAAAAATAACAAACAAATTAAAATATGCATTTCTTTAATTTAAGTATTTATTAAATATCAAATAGTAGATAATTTAAATTAAAAATTTTACTTTAATTCTATAAAATGTTTACTACGATACAAGTTTTACAGCGATGAAAATTGGATGTCTTATTCGACAAAAACAATGATTTCATTTAATAAATAGTACTCTCTATCTCATGAAATCTTTAGTTGAATGTAGAAAATGTAATGATTTCAATTAATTTACTTAATACACAGATTTACGTCAAATTTGATATTTTTACTTAAATAGAATATTTACTTTAGTAAAAAAAATAATTTTAAGTAAATCTGTTTAGTTCAAGACAATTTTTTTTATCAGTGTGACATACAATTTACCCACTCGCGTAATTTTTTTAACCGCACTTACTACAAAATAGAGTGCTTCTAGGCGCGAAGAGCACATTGCAGATGAGTAAAAAATACGCTCACGCGGATACAAGTGTAAAAGCAGTCATCCAAGCCGTGAGACGTAGATCAGGAAGCGAGGGAAAATACAAAATAACAAGCACAACGTTCGCCGTCCGTTTTTGGGAAAGAAAATCCTATATCGCAACGACTCCGGCAACAACTTTCCCATAAGCCTCCGATGCAGTTGTTAACCTTGCCGAATCACGAACCGTTCGGCCGGAAATATTCAGCGAACAAGCTCGAGAACTAGCTCGACGTTCGGGTTCTACGTATTATTATTTCGCGGTGGCACACCGTACGTCGCCGGGCACGAGAAAAATCGGCGAAAATAAACAAGGGCGTCCGGCTTTCTCTCCCGGATTCCCCTTCCAAAAAATGGCCAATTTCGGCAGCATAGTAGTTTCGCGAGGGAGAAAAAAAAGGAACGAGGGTTAGACGTCTCGTGGTGCTCTTTTAAAAAATGAAAGGCTTTGGCGTAACCACGACGGTTCTCAGGCCGCCCCTGCGCACGGGGGCAGTCCTCGAGATATCGGCCGCGGCGCGGGACAGAAAGGGGGGGGAGGAGGGGCGGTCTATACAATTTCGTGTATAAAACGCGAGAGAGTACATTGTAAAGCTCCTTCCCCGAATAGCGGGGCTTAGGCGATGCGATCGCGTGACACGCGCCCTCGGGGCGACCGCGCGAGCTCATTAGGCCGAGAAAAAGTTTAACGCAGAAAACGAGAGGAGAATCCACGGGACCGAAAATTAGACGGAGCCCGCTACCCCCCCCCCCCCTCGTGTTCGTAGAAAATGTGCCACTGCCATTGTCCAATTTTTATCCCGCCATTATTGCGATTCGGACCCGGGGGCGAGCGTGCGAGAGGACCGGCGGCAGGGGTGCTCGTTCCCTACCCCCCCCCCGCTTCAAAACGCATTTCGCCGCGCCACGAGGTAATCAATCGCTCGCTATCGCGGTTGGGCCTCCCCCCTCCCCCCACTCCGAGAGATAATGGATGCACGCGTGTAAATGAGCGCGAACAATTCGCCGCCGCGGAACGAGATCGCGTGGAATTTGGCCCGAAAGGGCCGCCGCTAATGGCGTTTTTCGGGGCCACGAGAGAGAGAGAGAGAAAAGCGCGAGGGTTCGCGTGTCCCGGGAGGACGATGCTCAAAGGGTTATTTAACGCCGGCGACCGGAGAGGCGCGCCGGGATCTCCTCCGCGCGGGAGAGGAATCGATTTTCCAGTTTGACGATCCGCGGCCGAGAATAGCGCGGGCTCTTCCGGGGGGGGGGGGGGAAGGGAGACAATAAGAATAGTACGAAATTCCCCCCCCCCCGGTGGGACAATGAGACCGTCGGGAGTCAAGTTTGCGCGTGGAGCAGCCTCGCGCTTACTTACCCGGCGATAGATATCTAACATTGAAATCCGCGGGTTCCAAATATAACCCAGACAAACGCGCCGGCGGTTGCCACGGAGCGCCCGAAAATCCTGTCCATTGATCCGGCGAGGAAAACTCGTTTCGGTCACGCGGCGTCGTTCGCTCCGAGCGGAGAGCGCGGGGGAGGGGGGGACGCGCGAGGGGTCCGCCGGTCCCTTCGGCCGGCGCCTTTCCACGCTGGCCGGAACACGTAAACGCGGGCGCGTTTCACGCCAGCGAGAGGAACAATCGCGGAAACTGTCACCGGGGGGGGGGGGGACCGGGCCCGGTCGCGGCGCTCGGGGAAGATGCGAGAAGCGCGCCTTACCTCGTCGTCCCCGCGAAGACGGCCCCTATCCTCCTCCTCCTTCTTTTTCTCCTCCTCCTCTTCTTCTTCTTCTTCCTCCTCCTCGTCGTCGTATCGCCGGCAGACGGAGAGACGCACAATCGAAAGCGCGATGGTGAACGCCGCGCGAGAGCGCGCCACGGACGCGGCGGCGCGGCGCGCACAGCGGAGCGCGACGAACTTGACTCTCAGCGGAGCAGCGGACCGTCCGACGAGCGAATAAAAACGGAACGTAGAAACCCGGCCGCTGCTTTCTTGCGGCGCCGCGCGCTATCCGGCATTATAACGCCCGCGCGGCCACCCACCACCCCCGGGGGGGGAGGAGACGTTTTCGCGCACTCGCGGCAACGCACTTTCGAGGGGTTCACGCGCACTCCCGCGTACGGCGACGCGCGACACGCGGCGGCGGCTGACTGACTGACCGACCGACTTATCCGCGGCGCAACGACGATTCCATTCCCGTTTTCGCGCTGCCGTCGCGCGCGCGAGAGTTTGAGGTCGAGGTTGCCCGCGGTATCCTCTTCTCTTTCTCCCGCTTCCTCTTCCTTTCTTTCGCCGAGCGCGCGCGAGAGAGACGGGGGGGGCGCGCGGACCCGCGGTCCGGGGCGCCGCTCCGAAAAACGTTGCGCGGTCGGGGGGGACGGGGGACGGACGGCGGAAGCGACGCGCGCAGAGCCGCGAGCGGCGGCGGCGGCGGCGGCGGCACCGGCCAGCTGCGAGAGAAATATTCGAGGAGCACGGCGCGCGCGACGTGTACCGCCTCGCGTTTCTTCCTCCTCCTCCTCTACTCCCGAGCTCCTTCCGCGGGGAAACACAGCGGGGCGCCACGGGATGCGCGGCTGATACGTCCTTATCTCCTTTATACTACGCTTCGCGCACGTGTGTCGGGGACGCGCGTGCCAGCGCGACGGCGACGGCGACGGCGCCGCGTCGCGCGTAGATCCTGCGAGAGGGTCGTCTATCTGCTCGCGGTGCGGCGTTGCCTCGCGGCCGGCGGCGGCCTCGCCGCTCTTCTCATCCTCCGCAGCGGCGCGAACCTCCTCGCGGCGGGCGCTGCTGTTGCTGCTGCTGCTGCTGCTGCCGGACAGTGCACGCAAGTACGTCGCGGCGGCGGCGGAACGTCCCGCCGCGCGCCCGCCCCCTCCTCCTCCGCCCCCTCGCCCTTTCCCCCGTCGACTCGGCGCTCGCGGCGAGAGCGCATATATGTATGCGTGTGCCTGTGTCTCTCTCTTTTTCTCTCCTCTTCTCTGTCTCTCTCGCTCGCTGTCCCTGTCTATCGCGCCTTCCCCCGGCGTTTCTCGCGATCTTACCGGCGGTGTCTAGCCTTCCTCCGTCTCGCTCCGCCTCAACACGCACGCACCGTGCGAGCGCGCCGTTTCCCTCTTCTCTTCCTCACTACTCCTTCCTTCTCTCTCTCTCTCTCTCGTCTGTCCGCGTATTGCGTATAATGACGGGCGAGCGTGTGCGTTACGCGGCGCGCCGCCAGCGGGGTAGGATGTGGAGCCGCGCGCGCGCTCTGTCCGCTCGGGGTCCGCGTTGTGTCGGCGCGCGCGCGCGCGTACGTTTGTGTGTGTCCGCGCACTTCTCGATTAGCGCGACCCGACGTGCGTGACGTCACAGCGCGACGACGTTACATCGCCGCTCTCCGGCGGATTGTCACTCGCGGCGAGATCGGCGATCGGCGATCGCCGCGCGACGCGAAAGCGGGGGCCCTCGCCGCGCGCGGCCAACGAAACGGAGCGAAACGGGCGTGGACGAAACTCGCGCGCGGAGGAGAGACACACGGAGGCCTCCTCTCTCGGACGGCGACGGCGAGCGGCGCCGCGCGCGAGTGCGACAAGGAGGGAGGCAGAGCCCGCGCGCGCGCGCGCGCGGGGGCTCCGATACGCGGGGCGGCCTGTTTATCCGCCGACGGCCGAGATCTCGTCCGCCGACGCGACGTCCCGGCGCACCGCGCGCGGGACAGCCCGGGTGTCGTGCCGCGCGCGCGAGACACGCGCGAGGACCTCGGAGAAACCGCGACACGGGACACGGGGGCGCGAGCGAGCGACGCCACACGCTTGCTTGACGGCGCGCGCGAACGCAACCCGCCGTTGGTACCACTCGTGAAACGACTGACGACTCCCCGTCGTGCAACGACTGGCGGCGGCCGCACCGCGAACGACGGCCACGGGAGGTGTGCGCGGCCGCTAGGTGGCAGCGCCGTTTACCGCGAGACCGCGGCGCCCCACCCCGCGGCCGCCCCGCGCCCGTGTGTGTCGTGTACCGCAATTCATCGAGAACAGCCGGAAACGGCCGAGCGCGACCGAGAGCGCCGCGAGCCGCTTCAATATCAAGTGCACGACCCTCCGGCCCTCCGGCCGCGTGTTCCTCGCTCACGGCTCGCGGCCGCGCGCACGCGCCCGTGGCTCCGCGCTCCTTTCACGAGGGAACGTCGCGTCGCGACGCCGCGCGGTGGGCTCAAATCAAATTTCGTCTCTCGAAAGAGGCTACAATTCTCTAAATTCCACCCGATTTCGAGGCCTTTCTTCTTTAATGAAAGCTAATGAAATTCGGAACAACTTGGTCGATTTAGATTTTCTCTTCTTGCGTCCCTTCTTCAATAAATTGGACATAAAGAAGTTCAATTTAGAAAGTTTTCAATCAAGAGTAGCTCGTCTCGTATTTCATGTAATTTAACAGGTATCGATATTGAACTTAAATATTCGAGCCTCGACCAGGTTTAAAAAAATCTTACAAGCTAACGTAATTACTAAATCTCACCTTTACTTACCAAACGAAATTAATTGTAATAGTATCCGTTTTTAGTAAATAATAACTGAATTAAGCAAAACTAAGTTATTATAACGTTATTTTTATTTTTAACATTTGTTTTTTGTTTTAGTTTAATTTTTTATTAAATATTTTTATTAATTGCAATAATAAGCTTTGAGTTTCCTCATCCATTGGACTTGGAGAATGCTTCCACTCAGCACGAAGACTACTTATAGAAGGATCTGAAGAGATCTACAAGTTATTTACAATATCTTCATTTGAATCTGTTGCGTTTTCGAGTGTTAAATTCCCTAAAATGTTTCAAATCTCAATTACGCGCCTCTTGAGCCTCCTCGGATAAGATTAATACTTACCTGTGGTTAAATTATACGAGATATGAGATGCGCTATCTACTCTTTGATTGCAAACTTTCTAAATTTAACTTCAAGTCTAATTTATTAAATAAGGGAAACAAGAATAAAAATTTCAGCTTGCATTTAAAAGAGAAAGCATCGAAATCGGCTCAAATTTGGAGGCCCTTTTTGAAACACGAAATTTCATTTCAGCCCACTGTGTGCCGGCGAATTTACGGCGCATTCAATTCTTCAACCGAGGGACTGTTGAGGAGGAGGTTTAGACCCGCTGTTTCCAACGTCCATTAGCTTCTTGGAACAGCCAATGGGAATCGACTGTTGATCGGAATGGCCAATAAAAATTGAAAGTTAACGGACGTTGGAAATAGTCGTTTCGCAAAGTCGCGTCTCCAGAAAGCACAGAGGGTTCGAAAGCAATTCTTTTAATTATGAAATCAATCCCTTTCCCGTCCCAGTTTTGTTCCAAACGCCATTCAAAAAGCACCCGCTCCCCAATCCGCTCTTTCGCGGATGTAAATTGAATTCTTTTTACACTCTGCAAGAATTTGCGGCAATTCCCGAGGAATTTTAAAAAAGCGAACGCTTTCCGAGAGTTTATAACGATCAGTGCTGGCTAGGGCTGACATTACGCGAGAAGAGTACATGTCTTTCTTTGAAATGGCTATCTTATTAATCACGTCATACAATTCTCATTACATGAAAACATTCGTAGTGACTGCTCCGAATCGTACAGATTCTCGACTCTACTCGTTGAGCATCGACGGGTCTCCCCCAAAGGTCTCCCGACGCACGAATCACAGAGGTTCACTTGAGTTTTCCGTCCTTAACACTTGTAAGAAAAGATTGTACCTTGACGAGGGGGCGTCCGTCCAATCTCCCTAGAAACCAGCGGCAAATGATGTCTAGTGACTTCTCGACGTAGTGGGGGGAAAAGTTGAGACCGTCTCAACTTTTTCAGTGTGCCGCAAAATACGACGTATCTAAAATGGACGACGAAAATGATGTAAGTGACACACTAATATTATATGGTATATATGGAATATTTTAATCATTCTTGTGTGCATAAAATACTGCTTTTTGGGATGTTAATAAGTTATGACAATTTCACATTTTTGAGGTTAGTTGGATATATATCTGCAAATATATGAGTGATTAAAATAACTTTTGTAGGATAGCTGTTTGGATTATGTTAGATATATTAAATAATTAATAATTTTTTGTAGGAAATCGCAATGATGTAGACATGCGGAATTTGCGAAACAATTTGCGACGTTGATGAGGTGTCGGACCACGTATGTCTAGAGGGATACAGAGGATGTTATGTCGATGAGGCGACACGTTATTTTTATCCACTTTTAAGTATATATTTTATCTTCTATAAGTGTATTTTATTATAATGTAGATATATTTTACTAAAATAATAATTTTTTTAGAAGATGGAAGAACGTGTCTACGCCGTGTCTACAGTAATGGCGTAGAGCAAGTAGTTGAGGTCGACATTGATGCAACCTTCAACCAGAATATACGTAAGTTATGATTCGTTGGTACAATAATGAGCTCTCCTGCTCCTTTACAATAAAATCAATTTTTTTTCACTTGAAAATCTAGTTATTTCAAAAAGACAGGTCTTGAAGAAATTGTCTCAAGAAGAGGAAGAAAATTTAATTTTATCCGTCCAAAATAGAAGGCCTCTGTGGGACGTTAGCCAGCCGGTAGAACAGAGATCCGAGCAAACCCGAAGACGACTTTGGGAAGAAGTTGCTGTTGAATTGAATGGTAAATAAAGAAATATATAATACAGTTGAATTAGTTGTATATGATAAAATCTGATTTTTCTAGGAGTACTCGACGCAGCTGCTGTACAGAAGAAATTTAAATCATTACGCGATACACATCGCAAAATTATTCAGTCGGAGCAGTACCTTCCGAGTGGATCTGGGAGAAATGAAAATGATGAGGACAGTCACAAGTGGAAGAACTATGACGTAATAGAGTTTCTTTGATACTTGGGTTCATATCTTGACAGAGTTGGATATATTGCATTGTAAGCCCATGCTTATTTCTTAATCTAAATATAGGATGCACCAAGAAACACTTTTTTTTGTAGGTCCGTTTCTTTTTTTCCTCTAATTCATCAATTTCTCACGCACAATAACAAATACTAGTATGTCTTTCAGGAGTTATTCCTCTTGAGCATTAGGGCCTTCGCACACAAAATTGCATAGCTGCATGTGCATAGCGTGAAAACTGTTTAAACCAATGAACATTGAGCATTGAATCGCCATATTGATTTACATAAAATGCTTATTGGTCTAAACTGTTTTGTGCTATGCATATGCAACTATGCAATTTTGTGTGCGATGGCCCTTATTCATCTGCCTCGCACGTTCTGTCACCCATGTACAATATTTTTGCATAAAGGTCATTATGTTCAAGTTCGATTCAATTAATTAAAGGAAGTCTATCCGCACTCACAATCAATATACTGAAAAAAAGAATTTAGTAAAATAATGCCAAATCGGGTTTCACTTTATTTAGAAACTAAGATCGCCTTAGGAGACGATCTCCAATACCTTGTTAAATTCTTTTTTCAATAAACATTTATAACCTCGTTAGACATATATAAGGAACTATTATCGCAAGCGGTGGTTTCACGACGCTCATATTTTGCAACTACTTCTCCTTCCCTAGGCGAGCGGTAAATTTAGTCACGTGACTATATTTGACGCTAAATCGTAGCGTCAATGAAATGGGACCTTTACGCGCGGAACAACCTCCGCATTACCAGGATCTTTTCGACATCGCCGCCCTCCGTCGCCTTCCAACGCTCGAACTCGTCGTCGACGGTGCGGCCGTGGTTGTCCTTGATGGTGCGATCGGTGATCGGCAGCAGCCGCTCGACGATCTCGGCGCCCTCGTCGCTGCCGGGCGGGATCGCCCGGTGCAGGGCCGTCCTGCCGTCCGCGTCCATCAGGTTGGGCGCCGCGCCGTGGCGCAGCAGCAGCTCGATGACTCGGACGTGGCCGGCGCTGGCCGCGCGGTGCAAGGGCGTCGCTCGCATGCTGCGGGTGCGCGCGTCCACCTTGGCGCCGCACTCCAGCAGGACCTCGCACACGCGGACGTGGCCGCCCCGCGTTGCGTAATGCAGCGCCGTGTAGCCGGCGGAGTCCGTCGCATCGACGTGGACGCCCTTCTGCAGTAGCCTATTGACGCGGTCCACGTCGCCCTCGAGCGCTGAAAGAAACCCAACGCCGGTGCAGCGACGCGGAGAAAAGGCGGCCGGCTGAAAATCGTGCCCTTATCGTGCCCGGCGGGACTTGGCGTCGTTTCTTAGCGAAGAGCCATCGAAAAAGAATTATTAAACGATGCGAGAGTAACGAAAAGTTCTATTACGTCGGTAAAAAATTACAGGCGCTGCAAAAATTGTTGTCATTAATAAACAATATCAAATCATTTTTGCCAGCGATCTCGAGAATCTACACGGGGAACATTTTCTCTTAGATAAATTTTATAACTCGTTCAGAAATTGGTAATCTTTAAGTCTGCACGATGCGCTTTCCCGAATACCATCCTCCAAATATGTAAACTAACAATAGAGCCGGTACAATTCCATTACAAGACCGAGACCGGAGCGCACAGTTTAAACTGAAATTGTCCCGATTACTTGCGATCTGCCTGCAGCCGCTCCGTCGTTCATCATCTTATCCCGAAGAGATAGGCGTGCCAACATTTTCCTTTACCTGCCGTCCAAATTCCGTTGATGAAACCGATTTCGTCTACAGTCTGGCAGACATCGTACCGTGGGACGTCCAATTCGCAACACGTTTTGGGATCGTGAGAGTGGTCCATTGTCTATTACACCTGCAAATGAGTGTCAAAAAGCGTTGAGTTTGATTACCAAAGTACCTGGCATGGAAATATTCAGAATCGATTCCGATCGGATTCATTCCGTTTCCCCTGGTAAACGCAATAGAGATCTAGGAATGAACAATTCCGAACAATTCCACGATAGGTACCCAGCTCGGGTCACGTGGGAAGGAAAAGAAGATCGCTTCGAGAGCTCAAAGAGGGCACATTTTCCGACGCGTACAAATTCACTCCTCATGCAGTATTTATTTCTTGTACATTGCAACATACACGATCATTGTACAACGTTCAATTATACGCCGAGTATGCGCTCGCGTATAACTGTCGTAATACAAAGTATAGACTTGCGTGTGAAAGAGATTATTAGCTACATAAATATATAAAATTCGTCGCGTCGAATTAACGCAGCGAGTGAATCGTTATCAACTATTCAGACTGTTAAATTATAAACGCAAGGTTACTCTTTCGTTCCCGCCACCGACCAGACTTTTGATTTTCTTACTTACGTAATGTAACTAACATATAATTGTCACTACGAGATAACGATTGCTTCTTTTATCATTTCACTCGATCCCATAATGGATTCAACAGGAAACGCTCGAGATTATAGTAATTATTCAGATTGACATTTACAATTTGCAATAAGATCTTTAGACCGACATTAATAATCCCGCAAGATTGACAAGCATGTAGCACGAGCAAACAACGCCGCAAATATCATGTCAAACTCCGCGCGGCTTTACGCCCTTCAACTCTCTGGACCGTGCTCGATCCGGAGGAATATAGTATCTAGCGTATAACAACAACACATAATTGTACGATAAATCGTCTATTAAAGCACATGGTGGGAAAAGATGTTACATAGGCTATTAAACTATAACTATACTATATAAAGATGTAATATGTATAAATTGTATTTTGCAGGTATATAATAGAATTTCGATCTCCACAAATATAAATAGACACAGCTTGAAGCCAGTCTGGAGCAATTTGGCGCAATAACAACGTCGCGCCAATTCAGTCCAATCCGGATCCTACGAGGCTCACGTCGTAGGCCTTCGGTAACGCGTAAAAAAAATCCCATTTTCCACGCAACGAGGTAAAGATATCACAAAATCATTGTATAATTAATACTTCCGTGTTGCACACAACGGACACAATGCAATCAACGCACGTTCCTTTGGTCTCTGCCGAAATTTCCGCGTCCGCTAAATTGCCATCCGCAACGCGATTATTTTGCAGAAGTTTACGTGGCTCAATCTTCGGAATGATGCCCCTCCCTCCAACAGTCTTGTCGTGATTATACAATTTTACCGTGTCACTTTCGAAGTCGTAGAAGAGAAGACTCGACGTCGCTGAGATGCGCAAAATGTCACGCCCGATAACGTGAGAATCCTTCGTGCGATTTCGTACAACAAAGATTAACGTGTAAGTTTCTTAAGGGAAAGATGGAACGTCTGCCGACTGCCCAAAGCTCTGCGCATACTTGTACTTCGCACACGTGCCGTCCAATCTCGCAAGGTACAATCGATCTTTCCAAAATAAAAGCCCCTTCGATTGGTCCGCACGCGTACATTGAAATGTATGACAATGTCCAAAGTATCTCGGTTTCTCCGGTACTACAAATAACTCGATAGCCGAGCTCAGCTAGTGCGTTTATGACGGAGAACGGCGTGCCTGAAATCAATTTCGCAACGTAAGTTTCGAAAGGACGTCCTAAAGGGTTAACATTATTGCTACTTAGACCACGATCGATTTGTCCAAAACTTTTAAAAATTATTATTTCAAAATTTCGCCGGAGCGCAGTTACAGTCGTAATTTCAGACAAACATTCAAGATACACAACTTGATGCAAAAAGACAAACAAGATGACGTTGCAAATCTCATCGATTCATCGATACTAATTTCTACAGTTTGATTCAAAACACATATATATGTAGATATAGATATAAATCACAAGACATAGGTGTACATTTAGATGTATAGGTAATACGCTTGCAGTAAGGCCCATTTTTTTTTAGCTTAACTTTCCCGCTGCAATGTCCAAAGTATCTCGGTTTCTCCGGTACTACAAATAACTCGATAGCCGAGCTCAGCTAGTGCGTTTATGACGGAGAACGGCGTGCCTGAAATCAATTTCGCAACGTAAGTTTCGAAAGGACGTCCTAAAGGGTTAACATTATTGCTACTTAGACCACGATCGATTTGTCCAAAACTTTTAAAAATTATTGCAATGTTTATCTTACTAATCGAGATGTAATAAAAAAATCGCTCATATCTCTATTAGACTGATTAAACTTTTCAAAGTCAACGAAACATGCCTTAGTAATATTAATAATAATTACAGCTGTTGCAAAGGACGAATCGCCCACACGGAAGATCCCGAATCCCGATGGCAAGTGAAGTCAAGTAGACGTTTATTCAACGCACATTTTCAGCACAGATATTATAATACATTTACCGTTAATTCACGAGCTACATCGGAAATACTATCGATTTATAGGAAAACGTTGGACTGCGCGCTTCTTTCGACTGACAAACGAAATGAAAATGACGGTATATTCCGGCCCGATTTATTATTTTTATATTAAACAACTCAACAGCCACGAGTCTTAATAGATCGTTTACAATTTCACTTGCTTCACAAATGCCTCAACTTTTGCTACGTCATCTCAGTCGCGACGGGCGTTTCGTTTTTTTTTTTATTATAAATTGTTGATGCGATTCTGCAGTTGCCGATTACGTATATTGACAACTGTAAATAAAAATGGAGAAGTGAAGAGTATTCCCCGGTGATTTCATAGAACCGGGGCTGACGGTTTACTCTATTCTGAGAAAATCGCGGATAATTACACGAGTTATTTAAATTTCTTGCGTTCGCCAGCGTGATTCTATATGATTAACAGAGATTTCATAATCAAACCGAGTGCCGCTACACTCTCTGACACGCAACACGTGCGTGCACCGGCGAGGAGCGCGAATAAAAATTGCGCCGTAGCCGCGAGAGAGAGAGAGATCCTGCATCTTTTCGGGACTTCCCGGGGCGACTGGTCCGCGCAACTGCCTCTGGCCGTCACGTCGGGATATTCTGGATCATTAACCTTTCAGCATAATTCCATTCACGATATTGTGGGTACTTGGGGACAGCGGGAAGCGACTGCGTAAGGCGGACGCCTCCTGCGGCGGTAAACCGAAGACCGCACAATCAGTTGCGAACGGGGACGCTTTTACACCGACGTAATAGAAAATGTCGTCGTCCTCGTCGGCGGCGTCCTGCTTTTTCGACGTGGTTGTCGATGCCATTGCCGCGCTAAAAGTTTCGTTATACCTTGTTGTGCTTTGCTTCTAGAAGAAAAGCAGACGTGACGCACGTGAGTGACGATCGGAGCCATTTATCTCGAAAGTGATACGCAACAACGGTATCTCTATGGGAGTTAATGGAAAGTTGGAAAATCTGCGATCGCGCTCTTGTCATCGTAAGGTCCTTTCCGTCCGCGATGTTTCCCCCCTTCGAATAGTTACAGCAACGTTCGATCAGGATAGAATTTTTCTAACATCTCACAATCTCGCAGGAGAAAACATTAAAATGCGACTTATAACACTTTCAGGATAAATGGCGTATTCTGATCGAATGAAACGTTGTTGAAGCTGATATTAACACAATACGCCGAATCTCCAATAGAAAACGAATAATTGGGGAGGGGAAAATTTTATCAGAGAGAAAGAAATTTTAGGATTGATAATCGCGATTATCTTCTACTGACGTCTCGTATTATGAAAATTTTGTTTAAAATATTGCAAATAATTTCTAAGTAAAACCAACGATACTATTTTTCTTACTGGATTGCTTACGAGAGCCAATCAAGAATCAGCTTTAAAGACAACGGCACACGATACAGTTTTTCCTACTGGATTGCTCACGAGGCCTACGTTGGTCTACGTTTTTTTCTATTGGGAGAATATTATTAGCACATATATGTATAAATACACATGTAACCAGGGTTGGGTAGTGTCTAGTTGAAAAGATGAAAGTTAAGTTAAAAAGTTAAATAATTTTAACTTAATTTAGTTCCATTATAGACTGTTAACTTTTGATTGAATTTCGTTACATTTTATCGGTAACTTTTCACTTTTAATTCACCTCTCTCTTAGGCCCGGTTTTTCATTTTCTGGGTAATTGTTAACCAGAGACTAGTCGACTCTGTCTCTGTTTAGATAATAATATAAAGAAAGATAGAGAGTCGACTAACTTGTGGTTAACAGTTAACCAGAAGTTAGCCGACTCTGCATCTTTTTCTACGTTATTATCCGAGTTAAATTTTCGAAGCTGTTAACTTTAACTTAACTTAGTTAAAAAAAAAAGATAACTTATCCAACCCTGTATGTAACGCATATGCAAATGATAAAGCTAAAATTATGAGCTTTCGATGAAAGCTCGCGTGCTTTCCGACAACGCATAAAATTCTGCGTGAAAAGAAGAACATGCTGCAAGTTCCGCAAATATTAAGTGATTCCAAATACATTATTAGCATTTTTTCTGTATATCTGTACAAACTTCTAAACATAAATATATTATAGTAAATGTATTGCTTTAAACGTAAGATGCTATCTTCAAGTATACTTCAAATATTATTTTGAATCATATCACAAATATTAAAACTATTTATTTTTGTTCTGTACAACAACTCGTACAATTCTCTTTAACATAAAGCGTAAACGTTTATTTTTCTATCACATGTTGCGAGGTGCGCCTTTGTAAAATGAACTCGGAATTTTATGCGAATTGGAACATAAATTACTTAAATTTACATCTTACGGCTATAGAAGTGCAGAAAACAAGTTGTTACATACTTGTGTATAAAATGCAATGGAAACTTTTAGGAAAAAAAAACGATACAATTTTCTATCGTTGCAGATGCATATGCATATCTGACAAATATAATGTCAAAGGTACAAAGTCACTTTATGTAGCAAAGTATTTCATTCCTTGTCAATAATCCTAATGTATTCCTCGTCAGACTTTCTTCTAACAAGAGTCATACAAAATACCGTATTCTTTCATCGGAACCGAGCAGATTGGCCCCTTCTTTTTCATATTCTACCTACATATTCAGTCTTCTTACGTACCGCCCATGTGCATAGACTGGAAATGTGCGCGTGATCAATTTCGGGTAAGAAACCGAGGGAAAGATAAAAAAGATAGAGCAACGCGTAGTTAGGCAGATATGAAACGTAGAATGAAACAGATATGAAACAGATATGAAACAGATATGAAACGAGAGAACAGCCAGAGAAGAAAGTGTTGCACTTGCCGAGATTAGAAAGAAAGGGACCGGGGAAGAACAAGGAATATGTATAAATAACTTTTAACTTAAGCTAGCATGTTATTTATAAAGTGTATCCTTGAATGCTTTTAGACAGTGAAGAAATTGTAGTCCATAATTGCGTTACACGCGGCATCGTTCTCTCTGTTTTATCCAATTAGCCGCTCTTCTCGTGCTCTCTTTTAAAATGCATCACGACTTAGCGCGCTCGTTTCACTTATCTACACACCACAGTCGCGTTATACGAGCCTGCCGAATCCCCGGTTGCCTCTCGCCGACAAAGAACAAGGATTTTTGTGCGGAAGAACTACGAGATTTTAGGCAGAAGTACACACAAACAGGATAATACATTGGATGGCTTGTGCTGAGTATATGAAAGTGAATTTCTTACGTTTTACGACACTTACACATTTCTTTTTCTTTTCTATGAACGTACGAGCGGCCACGCGCACACCGGCGGTCGACAAACCGCCGTCTATAATGAAATATTAACCCAATTCAAACATCTCTGAGCAATGCGTTTGGCGTGTAATATACGCGGAGATAAGGAATACTCCGCCTTTAGGAATGTAAGCGCGATAACTCGATAGCACAGAGGCACGAGATGACACGGGGATATAATTTTATATCGTAAACTTATTTGATGTAGATCCCAGTGAAACTTTAAGACGACTGTCACATGTCTTCCTTTACTTCGTCCTCAGCGCAGATAAAAGTATCCGAGCATATCAACATTGTGCTATCACTTTTAGACTCGACATATCACCGGCGCACTCGTATCAATCAACGTGTTTTCACGTAACAATCCACGTGTACATGCCTTTGAATAATTCCCCGTTACATTTCTTCACTGTACGCATTTTACGGCGGGATTAACGATAATAATTATCCGTCCCGAAGGTGCCAACTCAACGTGCGCATATGCCTGTTGGTTTCAGTACAACATGCTGTCCCTGAATTAATTTTAATGTATGCACGTGCTGTAACAACTTGTTTACGTTGCTGGAGTGAATTGAGATTGTTAAAGATCAGACTGGATAATGAGGTAGGCGAAGCTCTAGAAGCGTTAGAACACGGGCTGTGCCTGATGAACATGGCGCTTATGCTAATATCAGGTGCTCTTGAAATAGCAAGTATATACGAATTTCGAGGCATACCAGCTTTTGCAACGGTATCAGGCTCGGGTTCTGAGAATTCTTTTCTCATAGTCCACATGTACTCGTTATAATCCTGCTTAATGCTAGTACTGGAGGATGCGATGACTTTGTAACCGAGCACTTCTAAAGCGGTCAATATTATGCAGGGGTGCTGCAAATACACTATCGTCGAGTCATCGCAATATCCTATAGAGGAGAAGCGACCCAACTGCTCTATGTCGGCCGCTATAACATAATTGAACATTAACTTCACACCTGAAATCTCTCCCAGCGTTTCTAGCCGCGATTCGCCGCCGAGTGTGCCAATTTACCCGAGCAACGACACAGACCAAGCGATCCCGGAGCCTCCGCTACGACGGCAGCGAAGCTGCAAGTTGGAGACAGAGATGGCCGATCTACGTCTACCGCTGACTCGCTCTAAAGCCCTTGTGTCCACGATCCAAGAACTGCGTCCAAGTTCTAGTTCCGAGAAATGTGTAGCCAATCAACTTGCATCTTTTACGGTAGAGCTGCTAGGTGATCGGCTATGCATCTCTCGAAACTGGAACTAGGATCAGACTTAATACATTCGTAGCGACTCTTGGACAGTCTCCGTAGATTTCTAAGCTGGAGTGAGAGAGCAGTAGATTCGAAACAGCTTTCTCACACTCCCGGCTCCACTCCGCGGGCGGAATGCTTGGTCCGTTATACACGTTACGTCTGCTATCTCGCGACGCTATTTTATCTTTACGTCTATTTTATCTAGTGAAGATTACTAAGGAAAACGTGACACACCGAGTTCTCGAATATGACTCACGTGCCGCGTAATCCAATTGAAAAGTACTTGAAAAAGCGAAGCGTGTACCGTGTATAGAGTTGAACGTACGAGTGTATTTGAACAGAGGTGGTGTTTTTCGTACCTTTAAGACCTGACACTAAAACCCTCCAGGGATACTTATGACTGTACGACGCTAGGTTACCACGTACTAGAATGTATGGCATCTGTAATAGTCGGCTAAGACAATCTGTAATAGACGACAGCCTATGAACACATATTCAGATAAGTGTGTCAGACCTCTCCTGCTGATCTGATCTAATAGTGGCAATTATTACCGTGTGCTAACTAACTGCTGCAATTTGGCGCGCGCTCTTACACTCTAGGAGTCTTCGCTTATCGACTTAATTTGTAGCAATTGGTCACAAATGAACTTAAACTCGGTCCAGAGAGTTTGCAAAAATCCTCATTGCGACGCGCGATTTATTCTTATTGCAAAATTGACAGGCCAATCACACTTGTCGATCGATATCGCCCGGGAAGTAAAACAAAACCACCTGGGAAGAGGTGACATAGCTGAACAAACGAAAGCTGCGCTCCGGCGAGGCAGATTAAACGAGAATGACAAGCTTCCAGAGATTCTTTTCGGGAGATTCAGGTATTTCGGGAATGGAGGCCAACGACCCCCGGCGAGTTTGCCGAATGCTCATCACAAAGGGCCAACCTTTAGGGTCTATTCAGACAAATTTCTCTCCTTATGCATGCACTTACGGCCCAATCCAATTCTTTGTACACAGAGGAGAGCCTCCTGTTACGAGATAGGCTTTTAATATGAGACAGCAAGTTTTCAACGTGCAAATTCAATCGCAATCTTTTCTTGCGACACGATCTAACAGTGAATCTTCCACTAAACAGATTTCGCTCCAAGGGCAATAAATTCGTGGTGGAATCGACCGACGGCGGCTATTAATTTAACGGAAACCCCGCTATCCCATATTAGGATCCTATCTCATAACAGCGGACTTTCCCATGTTTGTGCACCTTGCAAGTCTGTCTGGCTAGACCCTTAGTTCACTTAATCTCGCAATCGCTTCGTAATCACCGTGCGTAACGCGTTGCGGGGTAAAAAAACGTCGAAACGCACATTTTTTTAAAATCCCAAGCGACGCGCAAACGAATGGACCATCTATTTGCAAGCTCGCGCAACCCGCGGTTGGAAAACGCGAGCGTCTCTGATCGATTTGTTCGAAATGTCGGACACAGGTGTCACGAGCCTTTCGAAGCGCACACCTTTGCGAAGCGCATACTCCCGTTTCGCGAGGATCGAGCGTAGCCGAATGTTATAGTGTCAAATGTGACTCAGAAAAAAAAGTTCGCTCCGTCCCGACACATGCGCCGTGCAAGCTCTCCCCTATTAATGCTTATATGTATATTGGAATCTTACCGACAAGCGAAGAGGATCGAAGCTCGGAGTAAACGAGCGCTTTACGAAGTTACACGCCCCTTTCGGCGATACAAGCTGATACAAGCTCGCAGCAGTCGGCCGCGTGCGTGATATCGACTGTCCTATCCTTTCTTGCGCGCCGTCTCTCTATCCGAATAAGCGGGTTAATTTACCTGGAGAATCGCTTCTACCGTGACGCGTCTGGAGTGACAGAGGGAAGTAAGCGCGCGCGCAAGTACGCAGTATTGTACGCGATGCCAGGCCAGCCGGGCACGAACGCGGGAGACGAGCTAGACGCGGAACGTGGCGTCAAGTTGGCAGCGCGAGGGAGAGGCGTTCCGATTGGCCACAGACTAGCGACTGCCGGCTCGGATTGGATTGGGATTGGCGATTGACGATTGTCCTCTAGCCAATGAGAGTCGACCAAATCGCTGGCTGCTTTGCTCTCATTGGCTAGAGGATAATCGCCAATCGCCAATCCCAATCCAATCCGCGTCGACAATTGCTAGTCTGATTTGGCCGCAGCAACACAGATAAAATATTTTTGCAGGACGCACAAAAAATGTTCGAAGACCCCGCGTAAAGCCTCCGCTACAATGATTCTCGGTTCTGTCTACAATGGTCGTAGTCGTAAGAATAATCGACTGCGATTA